AACTTTGATAAAATTTATTCTTTTTTTCACTCGCTCGAAAATTTTTAATTATCGATATATAAAATATATTGACATTTATTGAAATGAAAAAAGGTTAAAATTAATAACCGTGTATTCAATAGAACTCCATAATTCCCGCCATTTTATCGAAGCCCAAGTATACGCGTATTAGAGCGGATAATCCTAGGCGAAAGTACACCTTCTCTAACATGTTCTCCTATCTCCGTAGAGCTTGTTGAGCTTAGCTTGATCCCCACGTGACAAACTGACACACGTTCATAGACGTAGACTAAACATTTCCTCCATCTCCATCGTCCATTCCACATGTTCTTGTTATCGAATATCATCGAGGCATAGAAGTGGTATCGTGAATAAATAATAGGATGAAACGGTGTGTATAACACGCTATTTCCACGATCCACATGGTGGTGAACGGTTTCACCTTCTTCTCAACATGATAGCCGGTGCTTCGAGACGCCTGGACGCCCGCGGCATCAGAAATCAGGGAGCAGTTTTCTTCCCATTCTAAATATACGAGTGATCTTGCAATAGTATTCGATTAATAGGTATTGATTAATTTTTTACCAGAATTTTGATGTGATTTTTCATATGCAAAGAGCGGATTATCGTAAAAATTATTATTTTAAAATCTTATAGTAATAATACATTGAATAAACGAGATGTTCGTTTACAAAAAAATGTTATACATTCATGGAAGTTCAATTCTAGAGGCAAAAATGAATAAAAAAAATATTGGTATACAGAAATATTGTCGATTGATAGTTATTTATTAATTTAAATGCTTGCAATAATAATTAAATAAATAACTTTTATATCTCCTCTTTTAGATACCTCAAGATATTCTACGAATATATTAATTTATTAATATATAAAATATAACCTATACAAACATTAAGTTAACTTTGCCACAATTTTCGAATATTCCAATATTCTTTTTTCAATGAATTAAAAAAAATGTTTTAAAAAAAGATATGATTCTTCTTCAGATTCCTCCCGAGAAACGGTTACCAAAACCATCGCCGGTGTTAAGCTTGCGAGCCCAAAAGAATGAAATCGAGGCAGAAGGAATGAGAAGATCCCATTTAAGGGATGCTGTAGCAATGTGCGATTTCCTCGCATACATGGAGTGGCAATACGAGTTGAATTCAGATGGTTGGGATGAGATGCAGGTAGCCAGATTGGCGAACGAGTTTCGTTATGAACAGGAGAAGAATAAAGGCATCTCCTTTCCTACCATCGCTGGATACGGACCCCATGCTGCCATTCCCCATTACGAGCCAAACAATTTGACAAATATTAAAATTGGAAGAACGTCCACCTTGGTAGTGGATTCAGGAGGACAATATTTAGGTTAAATTATTTACTTTATACAATTAGGTTAATTAATTATACCATTTCCTTTCCTTTCCTTGCTATCTTCGTTTATTTTCTATAATATAT